CCCAGGTCTACGGCCTGCTCGACGCCCCGCCCCACCCCGTACGCTCCATTCCACACACGCAGCCCACATTCCACGCATACTAGTAGACGGGACTTAATGGTTGCATACCAATTGGTGGGCGATGTGACAACAGGTGGCGCAGCGGCAGTTCATCCTGGTGTCGAAGGTGTTGCAGAATCTGGCCAATGACACGCTGCCCGGTGCCAAGGAGACCTACATGGAGCAGCTGAACACGTTCATTTCGACCAACAAGGCCTCCCTCGAGCGCTTCTACCAGAAGGTGCTGAGCGGGGCCGACCGCGGCAAGCCTGCCGAGAGCGACGTGCCAGTCAAGGCCAAGCAGGCCTCGCTGATCCTCCTGGCCCGGTACTTGAGCGCCCACCTGAAGGGCGTTGAGCAGAGCCTGGAGGAGGACGGCAGCGAACTGGTCGAGCAGTTGAGGGACGTCCTGGCCAAGCTGGGCGATGACACCAACGTGTAAAACTCGCCCACACCAGAAAATGTAAACAAAATGTAGCATTAGACACTACCGATGAGGGAAGTAAAAGTAGATGATGAGGATGAATAAAAAGTAGATTCCTGGGTGGTTGCACTCATATGACTGAGTGATGACAACAGGCAGATGCTGTCACAGATGGTACCACGGGTTCGTGGGTGAGGAGTGGCTGCAGCAAAACAGAATAGTGCAACATGTTACTTTTAATATCGGTGTGTAAAGCAATTAATCCTCGGTAGCTTAGTTGGTAGAGCGCACGGCTGTTAACCGTGAGGTCGCAGGTTCGAACCCTGCCCGGGGAGCTTTCTTATTTTTGCCCATTTGGCTCCAAAAAACTAGTGTCCTTTTATGGCATCTACACTTCTGGCTTGTGGTACGACCTCCGAGAACATCAAGTTACATACTTCACACTGTAACGCGTAGGCACTCGGACCCAGCCCAATCTACTCTTCCACGTTCGTCCCTGCTACTTCGCTGAATCTGAACACACGCAAGGAACACGTACAGCAACACCTGCCCTCCTGACCATCTGCCCCTGATCTCCAGCGCCAATGGAGGATGACAAACACAACGTTCGCCATTCCACCCCCTCGCGATCTCCCCTACAAACTCTATGAGCTGAATGTCATCTCATCCCCCCCATCTCGAAGCAGCGGGGAACAGTCACAGAGAAGGGACTTGTGTTGGGGGAGCCGGGAGATGAGAGTACACACTCCATCTACCGCCTGGTCCTCGTTGGCGTTGGTGGCGTAGGCAAGTACGTCGCCCCCCCTTTCAATCGATCTGTTTCAGCCCGACAGTTGTCTGACGTGGGGTTACATAGCAATATTAAAGTTGGATTTCTTCTTTTGCTGACACCTGGATCAACGCGCAGGTCGTGTATCACCATTCAATACATATCGCATAAGTTCATCAAAGAATACGACCCAACATTGGAAGATAGCTATCGGTGCGTTCTTCTTCATCCGCCAATTGGCGGGCATCCCCGAACTCACATAGGCTCTGACTTACTGCCCTGGCCAACCACAGTAAGCAGATCACGTTCGAAGACGAGGAGTGTATATTAGATATCTTCGACACGGCCGGGCAGGAGGACTTCTCGGTACCTCAGCCTCACGCGTGTGCAGCGACAGGTTTCTGGGTCTGACTCTCCACACACGCGTGAGCGCAGGCCGTGCGAGACCAGTACATGCGGACGGGTGCCGGGTTTTTGATAGTGTACGCCGTCACCTTGCGGAGCAGCTTCGAGGAGGTTGCCAACTTCCGCGATCAGATCCTGCGCGCCAAGGACAGCGACGACATTCCCATCGTCATCGTCGGCAACAAGATCGACATGGGGTCCGAGCGGAAGGTGTCCACCGAGGAGGGACAGGACCTGGCCAATAAGTTGGGTATGTGCCCAGTGCTGCGAGCCACTGTTGGTGAATGTGTTGCTTAGTTTTTGGGGGGTGCAGGCTGCAAGTTCATCGAGTCGTCGGCAAAGATGAACATCAACGTGGCCGAGTGCTTCACCACCTTGGTCGCGAACATCAAGGCCTTCAGGAACAAGTACAACAATGCGCCGCCAAGCAACATCCTCACCAGGCCACCCAAACGAAAACACTGTACTCTTTACTGAGGCATCGGCTCTGCGGCACAATGGTTGCACGCTTGAGAACTGTTGGAGGAAAGAATGGAAGAGTTGCCAACGAATCGTTTTCGATCTGACCTCACGCGGGGGAACCCGAGCCCAACCAGTTCACGTGCGGGTCCAACACTTCGATGAGGTTGTGCAACAGCCGCTAGGATTCTGTTGTCTATGACTGTGCCCGAGCATCTCTCGCGAAACCCAACAAGGAGGCAAAAAGCAACCCTAATCGCCCATTGGCCCGGCAAACCCCGTAAAAGGAAACCCCGAAATTTCCGCTTTGGATTTGTGCTTCGGTTTTATTGCTTGTGGGGTGGGGCTCCTCTTTTTTCTTTCTCCTTCCCTCTCTAGTGTCGTAGTGCTCCTCTCTCTTGTGGCCTACGCGCGTCCTCCCTCTTTCACTGTTCAATCTTCATCTAATTGGGGCGAGTCTCTTCTCCGATTTGGATCAAAATTGAACCGATCATCTCAGTCTCTCAAGGTGCGCCTTCCCGCTCCCCTCTCCCTGACCGAAGAGATCCGAGCGTGGCCATCGCTTCACGGCAATAACCATCAATGCAACGCGAATTATAAAAACCAATGGATGAAATTAGTAATCCCAGCGGCCTAACGTTACTCTATGCGTACGAATTTTGGGCAAAATCGGAGTTGCGATCGCGTGTCGATTGAAGCCCTAATCTTATGGATCGATCTCTTGTCGTTTGCTCGTTCCAGGTCTCTAAGTTCAACGAGTTCAAGATGACGATCACGACGACGCAGACACTGAATCAGAAGGCAGCCAAGAAGGGCGGAAAGGAGCGCGCTCCGATCATTCCCAAGGAGAACGCCCCCTTCACTCTGGGCCAGATCAAGGGCGCCATTCCTCCGCATCTCTTCAAGCACAGCATGCTCGTGCGCCTCCCTTCGCCTTCGTTCTATTTATTTATTCGCCATTACATTTATTATTATGCTTTGATTATTGAATTTCTCCTTTTTGCGTCCCTCCTACGTTTTTACATTTCAATTTCGAATGCATTTCATTTACACGGCCGCAGATTCGCCGCTGCTACTTTTTGATTTGCATTTAATCTTCAGCGATGCACTGGTGCCTGCCATGTGCTGTCGGACTTTGCAGATGATGGCAGTTTGCATTTGTGCCAGCGAATGGTGCTCACTATTTTCTTTTCGGTCTCCCGTACTGCAGAAATCCTTCAGCTATCTGGGCGTGGATCTGCTGGAGAGCACCATCTGGCTCTTCCTCATCCTCTACCTCGACGGCCTCACCAAGGAGAACACGCTCCTCAACTGGACTTGCTGGGTTGCGTACTGGCTCTACCAGGGTACGTTCCTGCTCCACCGATTGCTCAACTCAACTCAACTCTACACGACCAACGCCACGGCACACACCATGGCACGACACACGACACGACACGCGTGACTCACGCACTCGCTCTCGTGCCATCGTGTACACCGCAGGTCTGACCTGGACTGGCATTTGGGTGCTGGCCCACGAGTGTGGCCATGGCGGCTTCGTGGCGCAGGAGTGGCTCAACGACACGGTCGGCTTCATCTTCCACACCGTCCTCTACGTGCCCTACTTCTCGTGGAAGTTCTCCCACGCCAAGCACCACCACTACACCAACCACATGGTACCCCCCCCCAAGCCCTCGTCTACAACTCTCTTCTCTTCGGCCGAAGACTTCGCTAACGTTGCGCATTGGTGCAACACTACGCTGATCAACACAACCAGACAAAGGACGAGCCCTTCGTGCCCCACACCATCACCCCTGAGCAGAGGGCCAAGGTCGACCAGGGCGAGCTGCCCCACCCCAACAAGCCCTCCCTCTTCGCCTTCTACGAAAGGTGGGTCATCCCCTTCGTCATGCTCTTCCTCGGCTGGCCGCTCTACCTGGTACCTTTACCACTCCATGTTTATTATTATTATTATTATTATTATGTGGGCTCGTTCCCTCGTTGTCAGTGCTTACTGATCGCTCGCGACCCGGTTCAGTCCATCAACGCCTCTGGCCCTCCCAAGAAGGAGCTTGTGTCCCACTACGACCCCAAAGCCAGCATCTTCAACAAGAAGGACTGGTGGAAGATCCTTCTCTCTGGTATGGACCTCGTCTTGCAACTCGAGCCTTTGACGGTTTTTGTACGGACAAAAAATAGAATAATAACCGCGTGCTCGTATTTTATTTTATTTTTTCTTGTAATGCAGACCTCGGCCTTGTGGCGTGGACCCTGGCCCTCTGGAAGCTGGGCGAGACCTTCGGCTTCGGTCTCGTGGCCGCCCTCTACATTCCGCCCGTGCTGGTGACCAACTCCTACCTGGTGGCCATCACCTTCCTCCAGCACACCGACGACATCCTGCCCCACTACGACGCCACCGAGTGGACCTGGCTCAGGTTGGCCTCCCTCTTCATCGTCATCGTCATCATCATGTGCAGTGTTCTCGTATTATTGGTTCGCTGTAGCTCACCCACTGGGTCTCTCCTCAGGGGTGCTCTCTGCACTGTTGATCGTTCGCTGGGCTGGTTCGGCGACTACAAGACGCACCACATCGTCGACACCCACGTGACGCACCACATCTTCTCGTACCTGCCGTTCTACAACGCCGAGGAGGCCACCAAGGCCATCAAGCCCGTGCTCAAGGAGTACCACTGCGAGGACAAGCGTGGCTTCTTCCACTTCTGGTATCTGTTCTTCAAGACCGCCGCCGAGAACAGCGTTGTCGACAACGAGACCAACAAGAGCCCCGGCATCTTCTACTTCTTCCGGGAGGAGATCAAGCACGGCAAGGCCCACTAGATCCCCATACTCACTCGAGGCCAAGTAATAAGATAGCTATCTCTTATCTCTCTCTTCGTTTGTCTCTTTTAGCGCGCACCGAGATGTGCATCACACCCCAACCCAAAGAGATACAACAACAAAACAGTAAAACATGTGCAGCGAGATGGTGGGCTACGTAGTTGCATACTTCAGTTGGTGGGTTCTACACCATCTGCACTTGATACCCCCAAGGAGTTTGGCCACACCAGCACAGCTAAGCGTTGAAGACCGCGGGAATCACGTTGCCACAACTACTCTTCACCGGCCAGAACTATGAATCTTTCCACTGGCGTACGCCAGAACAGCAAAACAAACAAGAGTCTGGCAGGCGGAAGCGGAGGTCGCGAGGCGCCGTTTGATTCGCGGGGCACACGTCATCAGCCTTAATAGCGAAATGTTGCTGGCTGCTTGCCGCGAAGAGTCAGTGAACGGTCGATCTGCGCGTTTGGGTGGATCGCAGGAGGCCTTGGCGTTTTGTGGCTGGACCACACAGCTGGCGGGACCCTATCGTCGAGCTGCCCACGACGCACGCGAGAGAACAGAACCGCACGCGAGCCCCCTGTCCAAGCAACGGGAAAGATCTAAACAACAAGCTTAGATAGATTGAGCGTTCACCCTCATCCACGATTTCCATCGCGAATTTGTGGTGAGAGGCCCGCACACATTTGATAGAAACGATAGATCTCGATCTAGAGGGGCGAATTTGATTTGACAGAGAACGAACGACGTAACAATTTGGGCTGCTTGCAAGCTTAGCGAGAGCGAAAGGGTGCTGTTTCCACTACGCGCCAGCCGATCCTCTGCTGGTCGAAGCGAAGAGTAGAAAAGCGAAGGGCTGAAGAATGCAACGAGAAGAAGCGCCCACGATCACATCACTGCCACTAGAGTTGCTGGCGGCCATATTCGACCAACTCGTGTCGAGCACGACCACGAGCACCACAGAGGACGTTGAATGCGACGATCGCGCGGGTGGCGGCCTTGATCTGCCAGAGAATGGATATACAAAGGGGACATCGTGGGACGTGATGGGCGAAGACAGCGCGTGCACTGAGGATGAAGAGGAAGACGAGGCTGATCGAGGAAGCGGAGGAAATGAAAGTAAGGAGAACTCGCGATTGGCGCCATCCGCAGCATCACGACCCTCGATGGAAGCCGTGGAGGCAGTCCTGGTGGCGTCCGCCGTCTGCAGCGGGTGGCGCGAGGTGATAATCAAAGAGAACGCACTGTGGAAACGCGTACGTTCGATGACCTCCCCCTCCTGCGTGCGAAACTCATTGGATTGCATCATCAATTTGTTGTTTTTTCTCCATTTTTCTCCATTTTTTGGACTTAGCGCTAAGTCCGTGCTTACTCCTTCTTCCGCACACGTGCGCAGCTGACTTTGGCACGGTGGCGCGTGTGGCAAGACCTCACGTGGCGAACACGGAGGGGCACGAACTGGCGCGCTGTGCACTTCCAGAGAGTGCGACGGGACAAGGAGGTGCGCACGCAATAGTGACCCACACCATCGAGGGCTTCGTTGCTTCGATTCTAACTACGGAGTGCCATTCCTATTCCAGGTGCCGGGTCTGCTCGCACTCCTGGCTCGCACGACCACACACCGGGATGCCCTGCAACGCTTGCAAGAGCTGGGTACTCTTCTACTGCCAATTACATTAGCAGACCCCGGAACCATCGGTGGTTCTCTAATCTCCAATTCGCCCGGGAGCAGGAATGGACGTGTGGGAGAAGCTCACTGCGCTCATCGCCCGCTGGCAGCGGCGACCACTCCAGTATTTGGG